TGTTCAGTGTTTGATTGTAAAGATAAAACAAGGCACATTCCTACACACTTGGTAATCGAAAGGATCTCATTATATATCCAGAAGCAGGGCAGTGTTAACCTACTCCGCCATGCTGACAGGGTTGGACTGATCCCTGTAGGACCTGTTGTGGGGGGCGGGGAGGCGGGGAGAGTGCTATGCATGGGTGTTTACCTTTTGTCTAGCACCCATGACACTCTCTGCCACAGCGACACAGGGACCGCGGGTCTGACAGCATGTCTTAATGAGAAAATGATTGCTTGTCCTGGCGAGGTGCGAAATGTGAAGTCTTTGATGTCACAACGCGTAATCATAAGAGGCCATCCGTCTCAGAGCAAGGCATGCTGGAGAGCTATGGCCAGCAGCTCGCTCTTTGTTTGTTGTTTTCACGGGGGAAATGAGTTTGGGCCTCGCCAGGATTCTCTTGACAAAGAGCAGCAGGCCTCTATGGGGTCTTAAGTAGGGGGTGAGTGGAGAGGGAGGGGAAGCTAAATGCTAGGATCGGGAAGGTGCCAGCTTCAGCGGAGACAGGGACCTTATCCATCCCCCAATCGGTCAGTCACCTCCTCTGCTGTGTCTGGTAGTGGCCAGGAAATGAGGTATGAGGTCAAGCATGACTTTAACCATGCTGCCTTCATTATCTTGGCCTCACATTGCCTTATGGGTAAAACGATGGGCTAGGATTAAAAAACAAAACAAAATAGCCCCGCTGGTGCGGCTCTGTGGTTGAGTGTCGACCTATGAACCCGGAGGTCAGGGTTCGATTCCCAGTCAGGGCACATGTCCGACTCGATCCCAAGTAGGGGGGTGTACAGGAGGCAGCCGACAAATGATTCTCATCACTGATGTTTCCATCTCTCTCTCCCTCTCCCTTCTCTCTGAAATCAATAAAAATATATTATAAAAAACCCCACACACAACAAAATAGAATAAGAAACCAACCAGAATGCTTTCTTCAAATGAGATCTTTGGAGTCTCAAGAAATTATATATATATATATGTGTGTGTGTGTGTATCTCAAGTATGCAAGGGGGGTGGGAGTGAGGTCTCAATGGTCTCTGGCTGCTCCCACATCAGTCACGTGCACAGCATCCTGCTCCCTCCGGCTCATCCCTAACACAGTTTGAAAACCGCTGGCCTAGATAAGCTCTCAAGTGCCCTCCAGGCCTAACACTCTGTGTCACGTTGCCTGATAGACACCTTCTCACAAGTAAAAAAAAACGGGCAAAATTCATTTTATTCACATATTTTACTTGTGCCAGCACATCCAAACAATTCCACCTGCGACCTACATAAACGTGATGGAGGTAATTTACTTTTTTTTTTTTTGTCGTCAAAATCCAGCAGGTATTTTAAACTTAGAGCGCATCTCAGCTCATCTTCGCCCCATGTCAGGTGTTCACTGGTTACCTGTGGCAGGGGCTGCCACCCTGGGAAACACAGATATAAAACCTTAAATGCTCAGAGCCTCTTCCTGAGTCACCACCACACCCTGCCCATGAATTTAAAGGGAAAGACCTACGCCTCCTATCTCCTAGGTCCGAACTCATGGGCAGTGAGAGAGCGGATGGGCCCGCTTTTGTTTCCATCACCCCACAATGCTGCGGTGGCCACCTCTTTAGGGGGCCCAGGGTCCTTTTATCAGCCCTCCCTCGGCCTGGAACGTGTCACAGATGTTTCACCAGGTTGGTCTCAGTGACCTCAACTGCGTGCCATCTCACTTTTCCACTCGCCACTTCTTGCTGACTGAATATCGCCTTGATCCTGAGATGTATTTTTTCTAAGTTTTCTCTAAGCCTTTCCCTGCCTGAATTCTAGTACTTCCAGGAGTCCCCCTTGACCTTGAGGATTATTTTGAAAACCTGATTCTCACCCAGTCCTCACCTTCTGCTATTACCCCACACACATAATCATTCGAGTGCGCATAAAGGGAGTTGGTTAATGAATACGTTTGTTCAACATTATCCCTATTATGTCTTTTTTAAAAATATATATTTTATTGATTTTTTACAGACAGGAAGGGAGAGGGATAGAGCGTTAAAAACATTGATCAGCTGCCTCCTGCACACTTCCCACTGGGGATGTGCCCGCAACCAAGGTACATGCCCTTGACCGGAATCGAACCTGGGACCCTTCAGTCTGCAGGCCGACGCTCTATCCACTGAGCCAAACCGGTCAGGGCCCTATTATGTCTTATGTGTCGGCCTAAGTTACCTTCATCTTTTGGGGTTTAACACGGTACTTTGCACCGAAAGAAACAGTATTTTCCTTATGATGTTTGTTTGTAGGAACAAGGATATGGCCGAGTATAATGGCTAGAATACTAAAATACAGCGAAGGTGCTTTGCTGTTTCTCTGGGACTAAAATTGAACATTAAGGCTTTGCTGGTTAGTTGTATATAGTTCAGGTTCAGGTTCGTCATTGGCTGGCTTGGCATTACAAATTTAAATCTAAGGGCAGTGCTTCAGGTAGCATTTTCACATTTATGGTTCAAAAAATAGGAACAAAATCACCTCTTTCTGTATAAAAGAAGCTTAAAAGCGTAGCGACTGAAAAAATATCCATCTGTATAATCTGATTTTTTCTGCCACTCTGTAATTGGGATATAAACTGTATACTTCGAGATGCTTGATAATACAATAAGCACATCTTTGTATATGCTAATCACATGCTTATTTCATGTTTCAGGTTTGATAAACGATGAGAAATGTTGCCATCATTTCCAAGTTTTTAGCCCAGAAGGCTTAGATTCTTAGTCAACTAGTTAATTATCATCACTAGTTTGGAACTATAATAAAATACTCATCTCATCAGATGAGTTACACTTATTTTTGAAGTTCCTTTCCCCTTCTGAGCCTCATAGGAAAAGCTGTTAAGGAAAAGCTCTTGTGTAAGCCCCTACTTTGTTTGGGCCTAGATACTGGGGTGTTGGCAATGAATTTATAATTTAATAGAGGTCTGATATACGAAATTCATGCAAGGGGCTTGGCCCTCATAGCCCAGCTTCCTCCGGAAGGTCGTCCTGAAGGACATCTGGAAGGTCATCCGGCTGTCTGGTCTAATTAGCATATTATGCTTTTATTATTATAGATCCTAAGTACCCTTAAATAGATGCACCCCATTTCCTTAAACAATGACAATGCTTTTTTATTGATTGCTTTTTATCAGTAATCCTCCCTCCACGCCCCCCCCCCCAGCACTTGCACCAGAATTTTCCCCCTCTTTTTTTAATTTTTTGTTTTTTAGTTGGGGTATTCCCATGTCACAGATCAATGAATGAACACAGTGACTCTGGATGGACAGACACAACCGATGAGAGGCAGAATCAGGACCTGCACCCCAAACTCTCCAAACCCTGAGTTAGTGAACATTTCCCCCCAATAATGATCCAGGGTGAGGGATGCCTTAGCTATTTAAGCTCTAAAGAGACCCAAGGTAGACAGACCTTCCAGAAAGTTCTTTTCTGATGTCTATGGAAAGTACCCAGAACACAACTTTCCTGGCCAGGACCTGTTGATCCCCGAAGGTGTGAGAGCCAAATGGTGTGCCCTCACCACTGCATGTGTGTGTTGGTGTGTGAGTGGAGAGGGGACTGCAGAAACCCTTTCCTGTTTGAGATGACTGTATGCGTTTACTTCCATTGGAAACACTGGCGGGAAAGCTAGACTGTGTGTATGTATATGCATCAGCCCGGAGGTTGCGAAGGGGTTTCTCTGACCAGTCCATTGAGCTCTGAGAGCCAGCAGATCTGCACTTAAAAGCATTTACATGCATGCGTGTCGCCACCACTTAGCTGACTTATCAGGCCTGGAGCCTGAAGTTTGTCCTCAACACCTTCAATCTGGTAAGAGAAAAAAACACCCAAAGCAAACTACTCTGTCTTGCTCACAGGGCTCCCCGGCTCGCGGCATGGAACGCATCCCACTCCTTACCCCTGCCAGGCTCTCGGAGCCAGGAAAGGGCGAAAGGAGAGGGCCCTATATCTTCAGGGCTCTCGGTTTCAGGTCTCTGCAGTCCCTCTCCGCATCTCCACCCCAGACAACTTTCCCTCCATGTCCCTGAGACTTCCCAGAGGCGGGGCTGGCGGGCTACTGTGGCCCCCTGGTCCTCCCCACGCGCGCCTGGGCCAATGACCCCTGGGCGGCGCAAGGCTGGTGATTGACACCGAGTTCAGATTTCTTTCCGGGGCCAAGGCTACTCCAGAACCTCTGGGCGGCTGTCCTGGGCTTGCCAGGGGCCCTGGGGGTGGCCGGGCCCCGGGGTCCTGGCGGGGG